TGCAATTCTTTTCCTACTTTGTATAATGTTTAATGTCCATAAATAATTTCATGTGTTAACATGGTAACACCACTCTGGGTGATAGAGCATGGATCAAGATTACTTGGGTCATTGGCAGCTATGAGAAATAAAATTCTGATAAGTAACATGGGCTGAAAAAGCTCATCTCACTCTTTTGAGCAGGCCAGCTGCTTTAGAGAAGCAGACCAGTACAAAAAATAAAGTAAAATAATAATTAAAGAAATCTACTACTGGGATTCCCAGCCTCAGATATTTTTCTCATGAAAACAGGACTAAGACTGTATAATGAAGGGTGATCCTCAGTGATCCTTGAGGAATGGATGGTTGACGTATGAAAGCAACACGATGGCACAGCAAGAACAGCAGATATTTCATAACTTTACTTGGGCACTTTTTTTGTAAAATACAGTCGAGTTCCAGATCAACATTTTTACTCAAAAAATCTTGCGTCGAGCTATTAAAGACAGTTACGAAAATATTTCCCTCCTGAATAGGTCAGAAAATTTGTAACAAAGCAAGCCACAAAGTAGGAACATTTTACTCCCTTCTCCTTTACCTATTTTGAGATTAGGACTTGGGATATTTAAGAAAAGAAGGATTTATGAGAAAGCATTTAGTTACAGTAGAAAGTTATCACACATTCTTTCTTAAGGCTTTCTTGTCCAATAGCAGTTTTGTGGGTTTTTCTTACTCTCAAGGCCATTGTTCTCAATGAAAAAAAAATCTAACCTTAAGAATTTCAAGCTGTCTGTAGTATTTTCATTCTTTTCCTCCCTGAATGCTGTTTGGCAAATACACTTACTAACTTAACAGAATTCCTTTTAAAAACAGAACTTTCTGAGAATCGTTTTAACTAATGGAGTCACAAAATATTCGGTATAAAAATGGGCATTCTTGTAACAGCTCTAAATTCTGACATACAATCCTAACCCATCCTTACCAGAGTATTAAGCCTTGCAATTCTATTGAGTCTCAAAACATCTGGTGATACTGTGAATGTCCCAGCCCGTGACAAACTTCATCTTTTGAAGCATGGCTCATGGAAGTCTCATATCTATTCCTACGATGACATCTGAGGGAATCAGTGTCTTCAGGAGGTTGTATTTTGTCTTGTATTGGACACACTTCACGCATTTCCAGAATATATACCCACATTCTTGGCCTGTTTTATTTTTGATGAAGACAGTCAGTAATCTCTTCATTTATAATGTCTAAATTAGGTTACTATAAATCATGGATTTATGACAAATGAGATAAACATTCCCAAAATACCTTTTGGCAAAATGCTTTTGGACTGCAATTTTGCCAGATTTTTATTTGTCTGCAAAATTGTCATTCAGTCTATAGTGTATGGAGACATCATTTAGGTTCTGTCATACAACAGAAAAATGTTCTTATGTGTAACTCTTTCCACATGTATAGGTTGCGCATATTAGTGACTCCATCATCTTTTATGTGGGCTCAGAAACTTACATACCACAGCTTGTAAAAAATTTTGGGTTTTTCTGGTATAATATTTCTGGAGGTTTTCATTCTGTCACCTGCAAGGCATGCAAGAGAATTCTGCTATCTCCAGCTTCAAATTATATTTGGATAATTTTAAATACAGTATTGAAAGGTTGTTTTCCTGTTGTTTTTGTAGGTGAAGCTTAAAGGCTAAGATTTATTCCTACATAAGATGTTTTTTCTGATTAAAAACATTAAAAGAAAATTTACAGGACTGATTTTCTCTAGTTGCATTTAACATATTCCAGTACTTTATTATAAGACGACCAGTTGTGAAACACTCCTGGGCATCTCTGTTAGAGTTCAAATTAGCTGGGACTACATAAGCCAAGAGTACAAACTGTTTTCTGAAGCTTGCAAGATTTTCTAAACCAAATAAAAACGACTTACAAAGAGACAGAAAGCGATTAACAGTAGACTTTTTTTTTTTTTTTTTTAATGTAGAGCAGAAAAGAATAAGTGATGCTAATATAAGGAAACAATGACTTCAAATTTTCACAAAAATGATTTCCACAACAAATGCATAAATCAGCCCATGCAGTGCTTCTAAATGCACAGAAAAAGTACCGTAAAAGTGAAGACCTACTGTGTCAAACATGCCACAATTTTTTCTTGTGATAATAGCTATTTAGGTTAGGGCGTGACTTCTTTCTGATATAGTTGTGCTACTACAACCCCTAGTGTGGACACTGTTTACTGCCGTGAAGGCATTGCACTCTTTTTTTTCTTTTTTTTAAAAGCTTGTTCCTAAGAAGGTAAAGCATTAAGTATTTTATTTCAGCACAGTCACAACCACAATGGGAGAGCTGAGACAGAAAAAGAGGGCAGGAGGTTATGCTACTTTACAATATACAGGCTCAGATGAACAGATGCAGTTTTTGTGTTGAGAAACTGTGCGGTATATTTCTTCCTTGCCCCTTGCACCCTCAATCCTAGGGTTAATCACATCATGATGGATGATATTACAAAATAGTTATTCAATTTAAAAGGTTGCATTGCTCTTCGGTTCTTTATTTTTAAAGATATATTCATGTCCAATGTCAATTACAGGTATTCCCACAGAAGCACCAATATTCTAAATTAGTCCCTACTGAGTGATAAAGACAGGAAAAGAGGTATCAGAGAAAAAAGGAAAATACCATATATTATGTACATAGAATTTCCTTTAACTTTTCTAAATGATACAAATTCATTTTCAAAGAATGTTATAAATATCAGCTTTTACCAAATATATACCTGATCATCTTAGATTGCACACAAATTTATGACTCCTCTGACACACCTGGATAACATTAATCCTTTATAAGAAGTCATTATATACAAACTCAGATACATCTTCAAAACTAGAACTTATCCACACAATTAACAAACACAAGCACATCTCAAAAAACAAGGAAACTCATTCTCAATATATCAAATGAATTTGAAATAACATTATTTGCTTTTAAAACAGAAAAATGCATAGCAGCACTGTTTGTACACTAGTATCTCTTTACTTTTAAAATATAAATATGTATTTATTATGAACAGATGGTGGCCAAGAAAGGTATCAACTCTGTCTTAGCCAGAAGGTCAGGTCATGGCTGAGAGACCAAAGAACAATTACTGTTTGCAATTTAGTGCCATGTAAGATAAAACATCTTAGGTTCATCTTTAAATACACTAAATGTGATTAAGCTGTTTTCATTTTATTTATATGAAACAATTTGCAGTGACAATGTTTGTAAAGCTATGCTTTAAAACAAGAAAAAATAAAGGAATAAAACACAACTTTTAACACTATAAATAATATTAGGACCTATACACAACTTTCTTGATTACTAGAGCCTCATCAATGAAACAGCTGACACTGAACCTCAGTATTAAAAAAAACATAAGTTTGTTTTCCATTGTTCTTTTTCCTACTTTTCTTTTACAAAGGAACCAACTATCGGATTTGAACAATATAGTTACTTTACGTAATTACTGAATTGCTCTATTCTCTACTGGTAGGGATTCTTCCTCCATCACTTTATTTTAATTATATCAAATTACCACATTTTAGTATATTCATTCCCACAATGAATAAAATACTATTATGTCAATACATGAGATTAGAATATTTTGTTCAATTTTGCAATTTGTTCAGAAGGCAATCCTGAAGCAAGTCAGAGAACAGGATTTAAAATCCAAGTTACTTCTTCAGATATTAAACACATCCTGTTTTATTTGTATGCCAAGATTATGCCAACTCTCTTATCTGTGATATCTGTCAAGGCACAGACGACAAGGCTGCTTTTTGTTTTTCAAAGTGTCCTTAGGCCTAAGGGATGCAGGAGGATAGAAAAAAAAAAAACAACAGAAAAAACAACCCTGAAAACAAAAGGCTTTGGAAGGCCCCTGCTCTTCTGGGCTATAAGATTTTTCAATATATATTAATGAGTTATTTTACCTAATTAAGTTTTTTGATTTTATGTATCTTTTTACTATAATTTGAATCAATAACATTTCAAGTCCAAACTCGTACTTAATTAAGTTAATAAACTTATTGTCTACATGCAGATTTTGGGCAACTGGTAAATAAAATTTAATTTTAGAAATACTGCATTTTTTTCTACGTATGTTCTTACACAGGGACTGATTTGTTCATTTATTTACAAGTAAATGAATGATTTAAAACTTGTTAGATAGTCTGTTCTATGTACAAAATCCATGTAAAAATTATGCTTTCATGAATCTTATGCACTCCTCTGTGTATTCAAAAAAAAATTTATTCTCGTGAAAAATCACAACTTTTGAAGGAATAACTGGAAGTTTGAATACCTAAAGAAAAATGGATAGAACTTCGACAAAAAGGGCACTTCAAAAGATGCAGAGTACACCAGTTTAAGCTGTTTGCCAAGTATGTTGCATGTTATCCTAATAATATTCCTTATTGCAGTGGATGTTTTTTTCACCTGTAAAGCATATACTGGTTTTTGTATATAGTATAAAAGACAGTTTGTTTATTAAACTTTTCTATGAAGCCCAGCATTCATTAGACTTGCATTTTTAAAGAAACTGGAAGACAAATGATCTTCTTTTTTCCTTGTACAGTTAGTTTATATTTAAGACTTCTTAGTGTTTTGTCAAGCTATATGTAAACCTAGTTGTATACCTAGTTACATGTGATTTACTTGTTAGAAAAGACTGTATAAGCATATGTATATAGTATATACAATTCAAGCACGTTGTATGAATTCATATGCTAAAGTAATTCTGTATGAAAGCATGGGATGAGTACTACGTAAGACTTAACAAATTAGGGCTGAAAACAAAAATAAGATAACCAAGAGGTATTTACTTAACAGTAATAGCTGGCTTGTTGCCATTAATTCAGAAACCATTTAACAGTAATAAATGACCACTATTAGAAAAATGAATCATTCCAACTTCCGAAATAACCCTATTTAGGCTTCCAATAACTGCAAAGCTACAGCAGTATTATCTCTTACCTGGTCCTTAATTTCAAGCTGCCTTATAGTTTTTGTTCTGTACTCTCTGAGCTCCTTTTCTGCCTCATCCTTCTTCATTTTGGTTTGATTCAACTGATAGCGCATTTCTCCACACACCTGTTAGATTATACAGACAACATGATCCGTAGCTTGAAGAGACAGGATTTGCAATGAGATCTTTTGGTGCCCTCTAGAGGTCATTTAAATGCAAGATTTTAATTTACAGAAATTTTAAGACTACATATGGTAAATGTTTTTTTACATAAAAAGTGGATCTGAATTCTCTGTCTAGTGATTAACTTTGAAATACGCACAGCCTTCTATATTCAATTATATTTGGATCAAGATTTTGCTAACTATAAATATTTATGTTGTAAATATATGTGCCACTAAATACTGTTAAACTACTGTCACTTTTATATTCTTCTCCCATTCTTTTTGAAATCTCAAGAAAGTCTATGTGAACAACCTAGAAGTAAAGAATCTATCACATCCCTATGTAAGGGCATAGTTTCTTGTCTTGCCAACTCTCTGCTGCTAAGAAAAAACATTTAGATGTTAATACATTAATTTTCAAAGTTAGATCAGAGCACTACAGACAAGTTATTTTAAAAATGCGTATTTTTACCATATGCACGGGCCAAAAGAAAGGGACTGAAGCAACATTAAAAAAAAAAAAAAAGATCACCTCCACAAAATCAACAAGTCTTCTGTGCCGTTGGGATGTTCACCATCTTAACCCCTCATTCCTTTTATACCTGAAAGGTAGCTTGACTTCAAAAGGCTTGAGGGAGGCTAATCCCTCCTATGTAACTAACTACTACATTGTGACAATATTACTCTCCTATTTCCCAATTTAATGGATTCTATTTAAATTTATCTGTTAGGAATGGAGAAGGATAGCAGACAAGCTGTCTTCTTTTCAATTTTCCTGGCCAATTACCTCCAATTTGTGGCTATTTATTTTATCTTAATAATGAACAAAACAAATATATGCAAGATTGCTATCCCTCACAATCCCCAATGAGAACAGTTACTTTCAAAATTTTCTTTCCAACTCACATCTGCCCTGCTTATTCTCTTCCACAAGACTTGCTTCCTAAATAGGCACATTTTTAATGTGCTACTGGTCCCCTGCACTTAACAATTTCCTCTCACATATTCTACAAGACAAATTCATTTCAGCTGTTCAGTCTCATCTCTATTCTCATTTCTATATTTTTTTTCACTCTTAAAAAAGGTACAGGGAAAGTAAATACGCATACAGCCGTCAGGTCGCCTTATGAAAAAACAATAACAAAAGGAACTGTGAGAAATGCTTGTGTCCAACAGTCCGAGCTCAGGCAGAATTAGCTATGAATCACAATTTATTTCATGCTTTTGCAGAAGTGGACAACCTTCAGAGTAGAGAGGTGCATCAGAGCAGAGAATTGTGACAGTTTATATTTCTTATTTCCCAGCACGAATTTCCTCCCACTTCCCCATTGGTTGAGTACTCCAGGGGTTTACAACCTATCCAACTCTTAATTCTCTTAGCAGTTGTCTCACCCCCATTTACTGCTTGGTTAACCCCTCCTAATTTTTGTTTAGTTTTTACCTATTATGGTATGCTGAGATAACCTCTCATAATTAACCTTCCCTTCTGGTTCTCACTGAAATCACAGAACCAGTTTGTACCAATACATCTGATGCTACTTAAAAACACAGGTCTTCTATTCTGTGAGCAGGAATTTATCTTCTACCAGAGCTCCACGGCGCCTCTTTGGATCTTGTTAGAGTCGTAACATCTTACTGCTATTATTCAAAACAACATTTCTTTCCTCGCAGAACTGTTCTGATGTTAAGATACAGCATCACTTATGAATTCAAAGTATGAGAGGTAAAAAGGATCATTTTCTTGGAGGATAACTTGCTAATTTAGTCCTGTTGCAAATGACGGAAAGTACAAAACACTATAAACAATGATATAGTTTTTTTATCTGTTTTAATTTTTAGTTTTTATTTTATTTTTTTTAACACTGAAATGTGACATGCAACTGAAAAATCCTAAGCAGCAGCTGCACGGACTGCCAATCCTGTTTTTCTAATGCCTTCATTCTTTATATTAAGAATGAACAAACTGTGACCTGTTCCTTCCTCTAAGCAAAATAAAAAACATGCAGCCATCCCTGCCTTTGGCTTCCCTGCACACAGTACACACTGAATAACACAGAAGGATCAGCAGATGGTGCTGTCCTAATAACTGATTTTCCAGCCTCCTAGTACTTCAGCATGAAGGTTGAAAAAAATTCTGACCATGCTTTCTCCCCCCCCCCTGCTCCTAGTACAGGTTAAGAAAAAAAGAAAAAAAAGAATTCCAGAGAAATCAAAATTTAGTTTGGAAATGAATCAGATACACAAGGGGATGTAAACATTATACAATCAATGAAAGCAGTCATGGCAATGTATGTTGTCCCAAGAGCTCAACATTAGGACTTTCCTCCAGAATTTTTATTTGAGCTCAGGGACATGAACACATTTTTCCAGTCTCTCATGACAGGGCAATGAAAACACAACACTGCCTATTGCAAAGGGGTCACCTATTCAGCTTTGTATTAATTTTAACTCAAGTAGAGACTAGGAGCACAAAATTACCTCTCTAAGGTTCAAATCAGCAGGCTATAAAATCAGTCAACCAAATCAGTGGGTATTTGGACATATTGCTTCCATCCCCTGCTACCCTACCCTCAAAAGTAGTGCTACGGCCAACCACGAATCTGGTCCAGAAAACCAAAACTTTCATGTATCAGAAGAGGTAAAACAGATCATTTTTACATTCTTAAAATGAGCTTTCCCATTTCTTTCAGTTGAATTTGAATTAAGTTTTCTAATGCATTTGATGGGCTCTTTGCTGTAAATTTTCTGCATAACTTTCACCTGTTCGTAGCAGAATGGGCCGCTAAGGAAGACAAACAGCTGACAATCTCCCCAGAAGTGGAAGTCTGAAGAACAAATTGCTCCCCAAAACTTTGCAATTAACTACTGGCTGTAGGGCTACCGAGCAGCGACAAACATTTTAAAAGGTCGTAACAAATTTCCATTTGCAGATTGTCTATTCTACATGAACTTAGCATCCCCTCATCTTCATGAAGTTGAATTAATTTCTACGATAAAAAAACTGCTGTAACAAGCTATCACTCCCCATTATAAGCTTCAGACTGCATTTTTTTTTTTTTATTTCTCATGCCACAATTAACATTAAGGTTCTAATTGGTTGAGAAATGTGCAGTATAGGGCACCACAAACTGATACAGACAGACCTGATTTGAATATAAATTTTTAACACTGTATGTATATAAAACAGATCTAATATATATGTTAAGCAGTAATTCTTACATAGAATAAATATTTCTTCGTAGAATACTTATCATCAACATTAATTAGTAAAGGAGTACACTGCAAAGCATTTCTACAATAAAGTATTTGAAAAACTGTAATTACAGGACAGTGTATGTGTCTTACTTACACCTAATACAGATTATAATCAGAATTTGCATAGTCTGTGAAAAAGAAAGCTTAACTTTTGAATCACAAGGTAACTTGCAGACATAAAAGTTCTCTTCTGCAAAACTTTACATGGAATCTTCAGAAGAGTTTACATTTGTAATCACACTCTCTTTACCAATATAGAGGAAAATGGAGAAACAAAAAAACTCATCTTCCAAGTCAGAACAATGAGCTTAAGCAAAGCGCCTACCCTGTTCATCTCCATTTCATGAGATGCAAGCTGATGTTGTGATTCTTCTAACTGGTTGACCAGAGAATTCTTTTCCCTTGTAATTCTCTCTACCTGAGCCTCTAACATGGCAACATTCTCAGACGAGGCCGTCACCTGCAAAATATAAACAAGAACAGGGCAACAATGAAATTCAGCCAGCTACAGATTTAAACCCTGCAGGACTTTCTCCTTGAAAGTAACTGTAGCTATATAGACAAAATATAAACCAAGAAATGCAAGAAAAAGCATAAATTAGAAATAAAAATATTAACCAAATAAGGCTAAATTACTTTAATAATTAATATGTTATTTTGAATTAATTTATCATGAGGTCATGTATTTGAAACTTTCCATTAGTCAGATTAGTCTCCAGAACTTGCTAACATGGTCAAAGTGTCATAAGCACCCAGTTGCAATACTTTTGCAGCTATGGAAGAACTATTTAACACCTTCTTACCTGTACTTACATAGATTGGTTTCAACAAAATCACATTCCCCCAGCTATCTTATGCACCACCAAAAAGAAAACTCCCACTGTAAGTATATATATTCAATTAATTCCAAGTTCAGACAGTACTTTTGCACTGAAAATCAAAGCATAATAATAATACAAGCATATAGAAATAGTATGCTAAAAATTTAATTAATTCAAATCAAATTTTACTGAACGCTGGAAAAAAAATGTAACAATAATACAGAGACAGTGACCCTTCAGCTATTTAGCCCTGAAGCTTACTAATGTAAGTGGAAATAATGGTGTCTGACAGTTCTAGGTTAACTTACAGGAATTCAAAGCCAAACCTAGGAGATTATATATTCGTAACTATTCTTCACTTATTATATATCTACCTGAATTTTGGAACATGCCAATTCTTTCCCTCAAACAAATGACTTGTTAAAGAAAGTGATAAAATACTCACATAGCATGCAGTGCATTGAGTCAGTCCTTATTTCTACCATTTCATTTTCCTGAAGCATAATAGCTAATACGTAGACTAAAATCATACGTATAGATGATAGTTTTCTAGAAAGTCATTCTATATCTTTCTTAATTACTAAGAATGACATCATAGTATCACTATGCAACATTTAATGTGTAAGTAGGATTTGGAAAAAAAAAAAGAAAAAAAGACAGACAACTCCTAAGAGTTGAGATCAGTTTCAGTAAAACACAGCAGAGCAGCTTGTGATGAAATACAAGGTGATGTACTGACATGAAGAAATGAATTACTCTGCTGAAAAAAAGTACGACATGCTTGTCTAATATCCTGCATTTTAGAGCACATATTCTGCTCTGAAATAAATCTAAATGACTGAAGATGTAAGCATAGAATCATAGAATATCCAAGTTGGAAGGAACGCACAAACATCATTGACTCCATCTCTTGGCCCTATAATGGAACTCTGAAATTCAAACCCTATATCCAAATACTCCTTGAACTCTGGCAGCCTGAGGCCAGAACCACCAGCCTGGGGAGCCCATTCCAGAGCCCTGGCCTACTTCTCTGGTGAAGAACCTTTTCCTAATCCCCAACCAGATCCTCGCCTGACACAGCTCCATGCCATTTCCTTGAGTCTTGTCACTGTAACCAGAGAGCAGAAATCAGTGCCTTTGCTCCCCTTGTGAGTAAGCTGTAGCCCACCATGAGGCTTCTCCACAACCTCCACTTCTTCAGGCAGAATAACTCAAGAGATCTCAGTCACTCCTCATATGTCTTGCAGACATATTCTGTGTCTTCATAGCCCTCCTCTGGATACCCTCTCATAATTTTGTCTTTAAGGATAACTTCCAACAGACAGCAATGACTTAAACAAAAAACTGCTTACTGCTTAACAATGGCTCACTGTCCGCAGTTTAGGTTTTAATTTCTATTTGCCTTGCCAACAGATTTATGAAGACCTCTTACAACAGATTACTTTTAAAAATATTCAATCCTCATTACTGCACTTAATTCTTGTTTTTATATCTGAAATTGAAGTCGAAGACTTTAAATTCCTATGACAGCTTCAGAATATTATCTCACAATACCAGAAATACAACCATATTTCTCTTAGTTCTATGCTATATATGGTCATATTACTATATGGCTTATTTCTAAGAAGAGCCAATAAATACAGAAAAAACCTACAGTCAGAAGAGAAATTCACAGTATTATTCCCAAAATTCCACCATAAAATGGTCGAAGAGGCTCTAAATTAAACGTCCCTTAGGTTTACTGATGTTAAGATGAAGTTTCCTCTGTACACGTTACATGGCAGAAAACTCTTGTGCTTTATACTCACATTACACTCGGATCTAGAAGTCTAAAGCAAGATTATGCTACAACAGTCAGTCAGTCTCGGTCAGTCAGTCTCAATATAAATAATGATAGAGATTCTGTCTGAAAGATTCCATAAATATAAGGTTGTTTTATTTTGCTTTAAACAAGATTCCTGCACATTTCTGCAGATGGGCAAATTAAGCATTGATAAGATTCTCTAAAAAATACCATATTGAAATGCAATTACAATACTGTAGCTTTGATATATAACATAAGTATTATGTAGCACAAGGTCCTACAGGTACAAAATTTTGAACGTTCAACTTGACAATCTAAATAATATTCCTTATAAGAAGCTAGGAACAAATCATGCTTTAAAGTAGTGTTAGAATAGATTTAGTGAGCTCGAAAATCCAACATAGAAACAAAAGAAAGGATGCCCAAACAGAAAGTTTAGAGAAATCTTACACTCCTTGTATATACAAATAGGAAAAATCATATGAGTACCATTGCTGCCAAGTTCTCCCTTTCTTTCTTCATTTCTTCCCGCAGAGCTTCTTTTTCCTCAGTCCTCTTATTGAGCTGGACAGCTAACTCCTTTTCAAGACGATTCTTCTGGCGTTCCATCTCACTTTTCAGTTGCTCACACTGAACTAGAGCCTAAATAAAGAAAAATACAAAAACAATTAGGTTTCTCTTACTTAAAAAATAAACGTTAAATTACTGCAATATGTATCCACTGTGTTCAGAGAAACCAATTCACTATTAGGCTGTTTTTTGTTGTTTTTTTTTGTTTCTTTGTTTTACTTTTTAATGTAGTAGTTATGATGTTTATGCAATCCTTCCATATTAACATCTAGAATAGAACTAACAAATTAAAAACAGACATATGTTTATTTGTATAAACATGCCCTACCGTGATTTGTAATTCTAAATGAATCTCTAAATGAATTTAGAAGTCAGGGCAAAGAAGAAAGCACTTGCAGGGTATATTTTCCAAATAAGAAGCTGTTCTTCTATAGATTATTATTTGCCTTTCATTTAAAACTCCTGAATGCACATCTGTAGAACCAGCCTCCTACACCCGACTCCTTGCAAACTCTGCTGTTTTTACTACATGAGTGGTTCGAAAAGTTATTCTATGAAATCTATGTGGAAAACGCTCCTGGATTTATTGCAGCTAAGCAAGTTTAGCCTTTCCAGATCTCCTCCTGGCTCTAAGGAACAAAAACAACTAAAAAACAGAAAAAAAAAGTGATGCTTTTTAAAAAATAAGTACCTGAGGTTAGATAGTCTGACAGGAAAATGAAACTATAGTACAGTGGGCTTCTAAATGCTACCCCCCTCACATTTCTCAGGTGGACTTTTCTAAGTGATTCTTTGATACTTACAGAACCAAACAGCTGATTTGTGCTTCCCAAGATAAATACTAGTAATTGTAAATAAAATAAAATAAAAATAAATAAAAACACCAGCCAAACAAAAAACCACCATACAGAGCTGCTTTTCTCATATGAAAGACTTAAAACATTATTAACGGGAGCTAAACTGACTCATCACCTCTCTGTTGAGTAAAAATTTGAAGCTGCTATAATCACATCTGACAAGTACGTAGGATTTCAAGCTCTTACTAAATTTTCTCTTACAAATCACAGACTCTATACAGAGTCTACGACATATATCCCTACAGCACTGGATAAATAACATCAACCACTATAGCTTATTTGGTCATTAGAACAATTATGTCAATCTTACCCAAAAACAAAGGCACTTCATTAAAAACAAGTATACTTAAAAACCAAATAATTCAATAATGATTAAAAAAAAAGAAATCCCCAAACCACAACCACTCAATTCCATAGTAATTCACTAATAGTACAGTAGATGTCACTAAATCTCAACGAAATAATTCACATCAATATTAGTTATGATAGTAACTAGGGCTAGCATAAGCATTAGATCAAAACTGGTTTTGCTGTTATTGTTTACCCCGTGCCAAAAGGGGTAAACAAAGGTAGCATTTATAACTCTGAACATGAGATAGTCCTATATAACAACCATTCAGTCCTTGCATTGCACTCATCTGAGGTAAAATTAATTGCTTATAAATGTTTCAAATATTCTTTCAGGAACAATTCAGAAATGTGGTACTAGCTGTGTGACCTATTGTAGGGCACTGCTTATAGCAGGGGGACTGGACTCAATGCTCTCTTGTGGTCCATTCCAACCCCCTCACTGTGTGATTACAATTATCTTCCTATATGCTGTAAATGCCCTTGAAAATATTACCTTTCAGTTTTTATCATCTAGCTCTGAAACCACTTAAGAATTTAAATAATGGCCTCAGAACCCTATACAACCCACAGCTTTGGATGACAACTTAAGAATCCAGAGTACATGTTACTGCTCAAAAGTATTCACAGTTTGAACCTAACACATCAGTAACAAAGGTTTTATGCACACTTTCTCTCATTAGCTTGCAAACTAATTCATATTTATAGGAGTTTTGAATACTCAAAAGCTCTAATCTTTTTGATGACTTTACCTTTGTTTTTTCTAAATTGGCCTCTTCTGTCATTTGCACAGCTTGTTTAACTTGCTCATATGCATTAGATTCTCTTTGCTGCATCTCTTTCATGTTTCGCCTCACTGAAACAAGTGCATCCATCAAATCATCTCTTTCTCTGCACATAAGAAAAAAAATATTTCTTCTGTATCTTCCCGTAAGTAGGGAAAAAACAGGTGTATCAGATAAACAGATATTTACAGATAAAACAGATATTAACAGATAAAAGACAAAGGTATTAAGTGAAGCAAGACTAAAACCAGTACAGGTTAAGCACAAAAGACAGAATACTGTTAGTATCTGCTGAGCTGTTAGTATCTATCACTTGCTACTGGTCTTATGCTTCAGGATGGACTGTTAGGGAAGCCACCAGTAAACCTGGAAGAATTCAGGTCATGAATGTGCTGAAGCTGAGTAACGTCCTAGTGGCATTACAAAATACGAATCCACTTTAAAAAAAAAAAGCCTCATAAAATATCAGAACAAAGCAATATGGCATTATTCTGTCATTACATGTAAAATAGGAAGAAAAAAGAATTAAAAGAAAGGGTTTAAGTTCCAAAATTAATTCAGATTATTGAATATATCAGGAAAAAACAGTAGCTCTTTGCTGCACACTGTAACTGAGCTAAAGAAAAATACTCTTGGATTCTACACCTCCACACAACTTCTTTATTAACAAAGCCTGAGCTGTACACCAAACCGTATCAAAATGAATAAAGTTAGATATTTAACTATTCCACTGTTTTTCATATGGTGAATGCTTTTCAGTTCTGAGAGAATAATTGTCTCCATCTATTTACGGAACAACTAGATTCTGACTGAAAATTGCTGCTGTTTTGTCTGTGCATCTGTTGCACTGAATGGTAACACAGTTCTGTGTATTCATTTTAGCAGCATTTGGTCAAACTACTTAGTCCTACTTATCTACTGCAATATCTTTGTTTTAATAATTTCCATCAAAGAAATTGATTTCAGATGTTGTTGAGAAATGGTTTAAGAGGAAGAAATAAATCAGCTCAAATCTTTTGTTTCAAGCTGCCCTGTAACACAAGGTGACAAAAATGTACTGGCTGAGTTTCCACAGTTTCTGTGACAACAGTTACTTTAAAAAAACAAAAAGCAGATTTGGAAACATGATTTTTCAGCAACAGAGAGCTTTCCCAGAAAATTCTTGGACTTGTGACAACAGAAAAATACATTAATCCTCCCAACATCCATATAATATGTAGAGATCACATCCATTTGTCAAACAGTATGTATTATGCCCCTTCAGACTTCTCACTTCTAATTGACCCACAGATCCTCTTCAGCAGATTCATTCTAAAACTCTGGAAATCCTAAAAAGCTTCACGTATCTGACAATAGACAGATGGCTGTTTAACAAACTTTGAGAAAGCTGCAGTATCCTGTCACTATTACTAACAAGTAAAAATGGAGAGACTTCTGAAGACGACTGACTAGCAGCATTTCTTCTAAAAAAAATGTTAGTGCTGTTGGAATTTCTGAATTACTGTATCTCATTATAAACCACATATACTATGTTCAGTTTGTACAGTTATTTTCTAAAATCCCTTAAATAAAAGCCACAATTTAAAAATGGTTGCTAAAAATAATTTCATTTCTTTCTGATTCAAAGGAAGTTGCCTTGAATTAGTTAGCAAAGTATTCCATCCCAAATTCTGGACCTATTAAACGTATTCAAGGAAAAAAGGGATTTCTCTATTAGAGTGAAAGGTTTACTTGTAGAATTAGCACCATAAATACAAACTACCAGACTACTGTCTGGTGGGGACAAGGGATCGCAATTATAAAATAAAGACTAACTTTCTTTTGCATTTGAAATAAGAAGAAAACTACCATGGATTTCACAGTGGCTGTGACCTACACTCATATTCTGCCATCAGTTTTCATATTACAATTTGAACTTGGGACTCCATTGCCTTGTAAATATCTCTACAAATACAACCATATTATAATCCATGGTTTAATGTAAGCAACTCTTATTTCACGAGAAGCTAAATATCCCCAAACTTACTTTGTTACTCTCTCAATTGCCTGCATGTGAACATTAGAATGTGTCTGTGCAAGAATTGCCTCCTGCTGTGCGCATTTGAGACAAAGACCACCAACTCGACTAGAATTTGTGGCTGAAACAAGTGATTTCTGGTGTTTTAACCTTGCTTCCAAATCTTCACATGTCTTCTGAGATTCTGAAAGGTGTTTCCTAAAAAGAAAAAACAAAAATTATATATATTTGAGCAATACCCAAACATTTCTACAAGCTATATTTATATGCAAAATATAACAATAAATGCAAAAAAAAAAAAAAAAAAAAAGCTGTAAGAAACTCCATAATATACATTATTTTACACATTTCAATAGCCTGTGGAAAATCTTAACAGAGGAACTGTCCCAACAAAATTACTAATAGATAAAACAAAATTAATTTGTTTCATCTGCTGTGACAGAAAATAGTAAATTTTAGATGAAACTTGTAGTCTTACATTTTTCCTGAACAGAAAAAAAGGATTCATTATCCAAAGAAACTCTGTAAATGCATTTATACAATGGCTGTGCAAATATTTCAAGATCCTGTGAAAATGTATTTTTTTCCTGCTCTTATTGCTAATATTATCGGTAGCTCCTCATTTCTACACCACTCTCAAACTAGCCAGCAAGTGACAATACACTTCCTAGAGAAAATCCAGCATAAGTTCTTTACAGAGAGAGTGGTGAGGTGCTGGAACAAGCTGCCCAGAGAGGTTGTAGATGCCCTGCCCCTAAAAGTGTTCAAGGCCAGGTTGGATAGGGCCCTGGGCAGCCTGGTGTAATATTAGATGGGGAGGTTGGTGGCCCTGCATGTGGCAGGGGGGTTGAAGATTCATGATCCTTGAGGTCCCTTCCAACCCTGGCCGTTCTGTGATCTGTGATTCTGTGACATTTACTCTGATCCCCTCTCTGACCACTCTAGGCACAAACCTGAGGTCAACCCCAACTCAAGAAAAACAGGGTAAGTTCTCTTTTTCTCTCTGAAATTTCTACCAGGTCCTATGAAGAATTTTCTCTAGAATTTCCAAGCATCTGTCATGGTAGGAAGAACTCAGTAAGAATGCTGACATCAGGAAGTTTCAGACAAATGCACACTGCGCACATAAAGATCTATCTGATAAATTGTGCAATGTATCCAAAACTTTTGATTTGTTATGCAGACCATCTGGGCAGCATACACATACCAAGTCTGACACATTCTGGCTGTACTGGATTTATTGAGCACACGATATGTATGCTGTACGCACATATATTTCCTTCTGGGAAAGCTTCTGTGTACTTTCTTCCTATTTTAGTAGTAGGTCTATTAAATAGAATACACTATAACCTGGACAGAATTTGCCCTGGGTATATCCTTGGACAGTCATTGTACAACAGACCTATTATTAAGAAATCTAGGGCAGAAACTGATGAGTCCTATGTAAATTCATGATTAAAGTTAAAAAATAGGGATAGTTCCATCTGAAAACAGTACAATTTTGCACTGGTACAAAATCACCAGATCTCGAGTGTTTCAAAGCGCTTACACTTTCAAAGATCACACCCCTTAGGAGAGAGTGAGAAGTTTCAAAAAGTACCTTTAGAAGTTCTCAGATGATTTCAACCTCTAATCTTTCTTTCTGAATATACTTAACACTTAGCCATGAGGGGGGAAAAGCCAAGAGACTAGCTGAGATTTAAGATTCTCCTACACTTTGACTAGCACAATTGGCTTTGTACATTTATGATTTCACCACTGCAGATGACATATTTAAACCAGTAACTCCTTTCGCACACAAACACATGTAGAATTATGTAATTTTTGATATATTGGATTAGAAATTATTTGGGGAAAAACCTAATTAAACAGATTTGGCAGCAGTGTCATGAATACAAGTACACAAGAAATTTATTCCAGAACACCAAATCCTACAGCGTTGGCCTCTACTGCTGCTTTCACTAGTCTGCTGTCTATAATGAAAGCACTCATTTAGAGTACATGACCTATTTTCAAATATTTTTATTTTTGAAGCTATGCAGGTTGCATGACTGGAAACACAGCATGCGTACTTCAAAACTATTGTTGCCCAGTGCCAAAATCATTATGTGGCCTAAACTAGCTCAGAGATTCCTAAAATTTTTGATACCAGATATCAGAAGAAAGCTAATCGTGAAAGAGCTCACAAGTTCAAACTTCAGCTTCTTTTTTACTTTGTTTTTATTATCAGAACAGGCACAGAGTCTCCATAAGGAAACCAGACAAAAAAAAGATCTCCTATGAAGTTCTGAGGCTCAGTAATGTCTGTAAATACAATTTGACATAATTTATTATATGGCAATACACACATTTTATAACAATGCATTCAATTACATTATTTGAGAGAACACAAATCCTTTAAAACCAGCTTTCAGGCAAAGTACTTGAAAATATCAAATTTACTCTTTAACCACACTGTTATCTAAATTCAAATGAAGAATGCATCATGTTAGGAATTGAAAATATTCCTTCAACCATAATTTTAAGAAAAAAATATTTCACTATACCTTAGAGATTGTACTTGGGCATCCAAGATATTGGTTTTATCCTGATAAAGAAGTTTTAGTTTCTCCTTTAGAAAAGATGGGAGAAGAAAAAAACAAAACATAATTGTGTCTTTTCGTTTGTTCTTTGTACTGTCTTTACATATAAATCTAGACATTAACCATATTTATTCTTTTTCCCTGAAGATATAAACCTGTTAAATCACAAGACTCAGAGAAATCTAAGTATTTCACATTTTTGTTCAAGTTCACAACATGAATAAACCTCCCATTTTCTTAGTTCTACACAACTTGCCAGCTCCTCATATGATATAAATTGGTACAGCTCCACATATTTCAGCCATCTACAATAATTTACAAAAATTAATGATCTTATCTCAGTTTTTCTTTTACTCTCCCACAACCCTACAGAAATAAAAGATTCTTCAAGTAGCTATTTTTTCATAATATAATACTATACTCCTACTACCTGGGACTCTTATAACCAAGAAACAAATAAATCAACCACAGCAGTGATAAAATACAAGGATGAAAACAAGCCAAAGAAAGCATCAGAAATTTAGCTCACTATGATGCTTAGGAAGAAGTCACAATCACTACGATACTCCTACTTTAAATATTACTGAGGAAAAAAAGTGCATTTATCGTAAAAAACTAGCTGTCAAATTGATGTTATTGATAACAGAATATGTTTTCAGCTAAAGATGTGCCAGAAGCATGATTACAAGCATCCCAAAACTCTCAATTAATCCTGGTTGTTGTTTTTTTTCCCCAAAAGATGGCAATGTCACCCAGTTCCTTCAGAGAAAATAAATCTAGAATACTGTCCCAAACTAAGGAAACAGGATAGGCTCTGAATCATTAAGGGTTCTTGGTATCTCTAAAAGAACAAGTGTAATTCAGACCAGGGAAGACAGACTGACAAAGCCATTTTTGTATCTTACTGACCCTACTCTGCTCCAGAAGTAGGAAAACTCATTGCAAACAAGCTTGTCTGGAGGCCTGTCTAAAATACAGCAGCTAGTTTCTATCTGTTTATGGGTTGTGTTACTGCCAAGAATCTCTAAAGTACAGTGGAGCCATCACTGACCTGATATTCTCGAACCAAGACTTATCTCTTGGAAATCAACACCTGCAGCTACAGCCTAGCATCTGTGTCTAACTGGAGAATTATATTAATTAGTGAATAACGAGGAGATGAGGTTTAGGAGAACAAAATTTGATCTCAAATTAAGGTTCAGCCAACCAAAACTCCTTCCATAAGTGCATTACAAAATTGCAGCAATAACAGTACTGAATGCTTTTCCAAAGGTAAAAGAAATCCTAATACCAACCAGTTCTACATGCCATTTTTCTACTTCTCCAACAGTTTTTGAAACCAAAGCTGGATCTCTGTTATACGCTGATGATGATATAGAAGGTTGATGCAGCTTCAAGTCATTATGCCTGGAGTTCTGATTATTTGCCAAAAATGAAAATGTTAGTGCTTCAATTATAATTATGTATGCTGTATTTGTAAACAAACATTAATTATGTAAATATCAAATGTTATAATTTTAATTACAGTAAAATATAAGAACCAGTAAACAAGTTCATTAGGTTAGCAACCTGTGATGATATCTACAGGAATTCATGTTTTCAGACTGTCATTTTGTTCTGACTAAAATTCAGTTTGAAGATAATCATTTATATAAGCTTTCCATAACAGGATTTAGTTCACTGAACCCTGGTTAAAACAACAAGAGAAATAAGAACTTACCGAGGTATCTAGAAGAGCTTGTTCTCCCAAGGTATATTCTGCAGTCAAAAATTTCAGTTTCTGATGGAGGTCCTCATTTTCAAGTATAACTACTCGAACCTGATCTTTCATCTCAGACAACTCCTCCTGTGAGACAGAGAAACTGCATGTAAAAGGTTCCTTGAGACAATCATCAACCTCTTGAGAACAAAGACTAGATAAATATTTTCAACTATTTCAGCTTCTTCAAAAAAAACAAGAACACTCAAAAAAGAATTGTTTTTATATAGAAATTTAAGCTACAAAATAATAATTTCTTAAAAAATACACTTATTTGCATTTGTAAGATGAAATAAAAACATGTTTGAAGGTCCTTAAACACCACATAAACACCAAGATGTGCAATAAAGCTCAGTGTTTATTGAACTGTGGTTTACTCATTTTTGGTCACTAAAGCAATTTATCTCAAGACTAAGCACAAGTTTTTTTTTACAGCAAGTCTTCATAAATGGGGGATCAGGGTTTCAGTAGCTGAAATGTATAATGTAATAAATACCTTGCAAAACTTCACTTCTGCTTCTAAATGGTTAATGTACTGAGACTGATCATTAATTCTAGGAATAAGATCAGAAGGGTCTGGTAAGTCTTCTGTTACAGCTTCTGGGGTTTTCTGAAGGAAGTAAAGAACAGTATGTGTTATTTTCTGGTTTACCAATTACTGCAATAAGAAGTCACTTGCACACAGCCTATGCTTAATAAAAGAAATACACACCCCACCAAGTACCAGGTCACGAGAAAGGGAGAAATGGCAAGAACTTCTAATCTTCAGTTCAAGAAGTAAACATGCCACTTCTGCCAAAACATATTACTGCTTGAATAAGCATATCTATAGAACATAACCATCAACCAATGCCCAAATGAAATTCACACACTATTTATTATTCATTTTAGACAAATGTTGGAGGGTATTTTCTTCTGTGAAATGAATATTGAAATATCTTGAATTTTAATTGGTATGCATCAAAGGATACACCTCTAAATGTTCGTTAATAATTGCTGCAGAAATACGAGTATGTCTGCAATTTTAATAGCCACATAGAAACACAAGAAAACGTCTAACAAATATTTATCAAAGAATGTGATATTTTAAGATTCTTCACAGCATTTACAGCTAAGAATAGTGTACAAATTAAACAAGAGTGTAACTAAACCTATTATTAAAATACCCTTAAAATCACAGTTGAAATGGTTTCACAAAAACATAGCCTCTCTTTTATCCTATTAGCAAGAGTCCTTGGCCATCTGAAAACAGAATTAATTTAGAGTTGACATTACGTACCTATTTTGCATATTGTAATTCATTCTGATCTAATTAATTAGTCTTAAGGGTCCCAGATGTAATTTTCAGGAACTAACTGAACAGTCAGACACCTAAGTCTTCCAGACCTCATAAAAGATTCAGAAAGCCACATCCTTGTTTTTTAAAAATTGTTTTTTAAATGTTCACAATCAAGAATATAAATATATATATATATCTTTAAAAAATTCATGCTACTATTGGGTAGCTATTACATCTTATACACAAAATGTGCATCTGACAAGAAGAGTAAATGGTGGAAGATGTTTTATGTTCAACAGCGAGCTACTAAGATTCCCTATCCAACATTTAAGATAAAAACTTCAGGTTTTAAAACCAGAACTCTGTGGCAGGGGGGTTGGAGCTTAATGATCCTTGAAGTCCCTTCCAACCCAAGCCATTCTATGATTCTATCCTGACATTTAAATGAGAATGAATAATCAAACCTGCAAAGGTAACAGAAATTTCTAGTAACAACAGCCTTTCTTTCAAATTATACGCAATATAATTTTTTACCATAGTAAAAAAAAGAGTGACCCTTGTTTCACCTGGAACTACAGTTGAGATTTCCAGAACCATCCAGAAAAACACTTGCAGAATAGACACTAAATTTGTAATGTAACCCACCTCAGCTGCGTGCATGTTCTGAGAGTAGTTCTGCTGCAAGAAGGATAGATTTGAGAAACCTGCATAAGGGTGTCCTTTCCACTTAGGAAAGTGACTTTGGCAGAGACCACTGCACTTTGGTACAGAGCTACCATACCTGGTGCTATGTGGATCGACCATCCGGTCAATCCCAACCGTTTCCAAAACAAAAAGGATAAACTTGCAGTGCAGTTAAGATGATGAGAAAACAAAGTAATGTGGACTGTCACCAACACACACCATGATCAACTAGAAGGAAATGCCTAAATCAAGCATCTGGGATTTTTCTTCTGCTGTGGTCATAAACATACCAAGTTCACATCACAGAGAATCAAAATTTCACACCGTAAAAATGGCTCAGGAGCTCTAATTCTTCCAGGACAGTAGAAAACATTTCACAGCATGCATGTCATTCATTCAAATAACACAAAGAGACAAGAAGAAACATACTTGGAATTGCATTTTTCTCCTTGATGGAGAGGCTTCACTTTCCATCTTTTCCTGATGTTGCAACAAAATTTTAAGTTGATTAACTAGGAAGAGATTAAAAAAAACAACACAAAAACACATTGGTTATAAGCAAAAATATTGATAGTATGAATGGATAAATTTAATATTATTTCTAACATTTTTAAGCTGTTTGCCTTCAGAGTAATCTTACCTGCGTGACTGTGCTGTAGTTCCTCCCAGGGTGGATTCCCACTGTTGTCGTTGCTCCCGTCCACATCATCAGTGCCCTTGTCCACAGAAGACTGGTCAAATCCAGCTTCATCCTTACTCTCCGCAAAATGTCTTTCCTCCAAGGCATATTTCAGCTGATGGATACTTTCATTAGCACGCTCTGCAAACAATCATATCATTAGCCACAGCAGACAACATAAAAAGAAATATTTTAAGTTGCAAAAAATTGTGAGAACTAAATGCATTCAGCAACTGTCTAACTTGATTCCTTCATCTTAAGCCAGCCACTGAAAGCAATTACATAATGCAAATAGCCAAAACTACAACAGTTCACAACTTGAGGAAGCAAAATTTACTACATTTCTAAATATCAGGCTATGAACAGAATGCCAGCCTGTCAATAGAACGACTTCATAGCAGCACAAATAGCTAGTATTAAATATTGCCACTACAAAGCTTCAGCTATAGTCATACCTTACTGTATTTCAAACATAATGCTCATTCTATATTTCATATAATGCACAGGATCAGACTCTAAGGATAGCTTTAGTGATTTCTCATGGTGATACTTTACATGACAAAGCAATGCCTCATACAACTGAAAAAATAACTGAAATAAACAGCAAATGCAGTCAACATAAAACAGAGATTAAATAAAGACAGATGACTTCTGAATGAGCGTAAAAAGTAAATAACACTCATTCAAAACAAAACAAAAAACACCTCTTTCCATATAAACCAAAATACTCTATGAACCCTTTCAAGAACTGATTTGGGAGTGATACAATAACATTCTTTTCTCATTTTCAGTGCATTGTACTTATTTTCTTTTTCTTTCTTTTTATTCTGCTAACTTCATAAAAATAGAAAACCATAAATGCCACATTATACCAATGTACCTGAACATTGTCAGTATGTCAGAAAAGAAACTGGATAAATTTGCAGATCGAGAAGTGAAAAATGAACAAGGAATTAGAAAATATGAGCCTGGCTTTAAACAATGATTTTTCTGGTCCACACTGTAGGACCTCTGTCAGTTACTTCTTTTATTAATTCTTTCTTACCATTACCTATGTATAAATGGAGATTAGTAGTTTATTCCTCTTCCATTTAAGTGGCGCATACACAAAGTAGACAGGAAAGCAGCCTAGAGGAGTATGGCTTTCTGCAAATATCAAAAAGAAGGATATCTGGGCTCTGCTGTAATACCAAGTGAACTCAGAAACATCTACCTGAAAATATATTTTGAATATTAAAAAAAACTTATTAAAAAATCACTGTTCAGCATTTGCTGGTAGAACAAGCAATTGTCTTAGAGTAAAATAAATGCTGATGGTTAGAAATATTAATAGCTCCTTTCTTCCAAACAGCAAAGCGAACAGCAATTCAAGTTGGAACAAAAGCTAAGTATGTAAATCTAGCTTCACTTTATCTATCTTTTTCAAGTTCAAATACATCATCTTGACTAAAGTTAGGAAATACTTTTTTTCCCTGACTATAACGATTTTCACAGTCCTTTTCTCTGCATTGCCATAACTCACCTATAGTCCATAAAATATAAATAAGACACCAAAACCATTCTATTTAGGAATATTTTCAACCCAATGTGCCAGCTCTGTCTCACATTTTAATGATGCTAGTTTTTCATAGAAGCATAAGCTGCTTCTCACATATTCATCTTTCCACAGCACTCATTTTTAAAACCCATTAATCTTATGACTAGTCTTACATCTTCTGATTTTCAGGTACTCCATGCTTTAACCAAGTTAGTGTAAGAGAAGAAGCAAAAGCTAAAATTTTAGACAGTCATAATTTATTATAACAAACCCAAATATATTTCACAAGGTGGTGGCTCAGGCAAGAGAATCTAGGTCATACATTTTTCTATTAGCTAATGGGCATAATTAAGTTATCCATTCTAAAGGATTACAGGATGTTATGAGACTGGGAGAGTTAATTGGCAAATGGTAACTGTATCTCATTGATGCAATGGCTTGAATATTTAGTAAACTATGTTGCAATGAGTTGTTACCAAAAAATTTTCTATGTCAGCTAAAGTATTACACGGAGAGTCATTTGATAACTAGAAAATGCACCTAATTTTCCTGTTCACTGTAGGCCTCTGTCAGAGAGCCCTGAATTCTAATTTTCCTTCTGTAGCAAGTGGGGAAAAGAAAGAATAAAAACAAAACAAAGTACAGGCCCACGTATATGCTTTCTTCCATAAAATAAAGTGTGCAGGAGTAGTAGTGAAACGTAATAAAAACATTATCTGTGACACGCTGATGTCTACTTTTCTTGGCTAAACATCTCCTGTCTCTGGAAGAATATCCCCATATTTTTGAAAGCTTCATTAATATTTGACAGAGTTGCTTAAATGCTTTCTGGTTTCATAATTAAAAAGGCTGCTGCTATAAGCAAAAAGCTCACTACTGGGAAACTGGGAATTAGGAGCTTTCAATACCAAACAGCTAACATTCATTTGAGTAAGAGTTGAACTGGACATAAAAGAGGCAAGATGTACAATTTTTTTTTCTAAGTACATCATTTGGGGGCATTAGGATAAAAAAATAAACATTAACAAGTGGGAATGTACACAGTGTTGCTCTTATCAATGTAAAAATGTTCTTTCTAAGCATGAAAGAAGCAGAAAGAACCTCTGTGGATGCAAACTATTGGAGACCAAGGCATCTTTATTTAAAGATTTCACAATAATTTTTAAAGTGAATTTAGAAGCTGTAAGTTTCTAAGTGCTAGCACAGTCAGTCTACTTTTTCAGTTAGCTATTCCTATAACAGCACATTTTACAAAAGTAGCTCTCAGTAAAAATGCATTGCCCAAAACTGCCTGCATATCTAAAATTCGATTGTCGTATTCTTTTCTGCATTTTAAGACTTTACAAACAATATCTGAGAATATATTTCTGTTGTGTGATAAAATGCCACTGATGTGTTATCTCCCACAGGCAGAGCTAAGGATATTGACGGATCACAGCATGGCTGGGGTTGGAAGGCACTTCTGGAGACCATCTGGTACAACCTCCAGCACAGACACCACATCCAGGTGTAATACGAAGATCTCCACAAACAGATTCCATGCACAGAAGAGTACTGGTTGTGTTAAACGTTCAACTTTAATTGGAAACAAATCAAAATGATAACACAATCTAGGATTCCTGAAAGCAATCAAATCTAATATGCAGATACTATCAACTGTGGGGAAAGAAAGCCTTGATCTCTCTTTTTTTTCCCCTACGCTTTTTCCCCCTCCAGTATTCATTAAGATTTTTTTTTTTAAGTTGCCTACAGACATATAAAAGTAATTATAATATTTCCTACACTAGAGAGGATCTGATGCAACTTAGTACTACCCATTAAAATATACACTTGAAAACATGCTTCAAAAAATATTTCATTTGTTTCCTAGAATGAAAAATATGAAATGTTAAAATATATATATAAACTCAATTTCAGAATTTCTACAGATCACTTATGTGAACTAAAAATTAAAAAAAAAAAACTTTTTAAACTGATATTGCTTTTTGTTTTTCAGTATTTAGTGGTCATGGCACCAAACCTACTGGAGTCGAGAAGTGTTTGAACAGCACTCTCAGACACAGGGTTTGGATCTCGGATGGTGCAAGAGGGGAATCAGGAGTTGGGCTCAATGATCCCTGGGGTCCCTCCCAACTCGGGATATTCCATGATCCTATCATCATGAAAAAACACAAGCCAGCAAAAAACCCAATGCTTCTTTTTTCTTTGACATATCAGCTTTCATCTTAAGTATTAAACCCTGAAGATATATTACTGGTATCCTTTTTTCAGAGAAGTATCTTTATATAAATACAATTAATTTTTTTTTTTTTTTTTTTTTTTTAGCAGCATGTCACTACTACTGTAGAATGTATTTTGTTCTTTTATTAAATTGGAGATATGACTGATGCATTCAACTTGTCAAATAAATAAATAAATAAATAAATAAATAAAGGCTAGAGTCAAAACATTGAAATGAAATTCAACACAAAAAAGCTTGCTGTATTTCCATATAAGTAGTACTCAGCTTTGGAGCAAAAAAAATAAAATTGTGAGAACAATACGTCACTGAAGGGAAAACAGAAAAAACAGAGAAGGCATTGAACCCTGTTTGCCTAAACAAAAGATGTTTTTTCAGGCACTGCCCAAGACTGTCTATGAAGAGCAATTCTTCAAATGAAAGCACCAACGTTACCTCATTCATGAACTCAGAAGTGCCACAGAAAATACTCTAAGACCTAATGGAGAGCTTAGCAAAGGAAACAACCATCCAGAACAACAAAATTGGCTGCAAGACATGGAAAAAAACTCCAACTGGTACACATGATAAAGAACAGACACTGAAAAAAATTAACTACAACCCTGCAAAAAATGTTGCTTTAACTATCATCTAAGGACAACTGCCTAGTTTGTTAGTTTTTAAGAAGACTGAAATGTAACTACTAGTATTTAACATATTTACTGGACAGAGGAGCGACTGAAGGAACTGGGGCTGTTTAGTCTCAAGAAGAGGAGGCTGAGGGAAGACCTTAATGCTCTATTCCAATATCTGAAAGGTGTTTACAGCGAGAGTGGGGTTGGTCTCTTCTCACTGGTGACAGGATGAGGGGAAATGGCCTCAAGTTGCACCAGGGTAAGTTTAGGTTGGATATCAGGAAACATTTCTTTACAGAAAGGGTTGTTAATCACTGGAATAGGCTCCCCAGCGAGGTGATTGATTGTGTCACCATCCCTGGATGTGTTTAAAAACTGTTTGGATGTGGTGTGCAGGGACGTGATTTAGCAGAGGGTTGTTAGAGTTAGGCCAGTATGGTTGTGGTTGGACTCGATGATCTTCAAGGTCTTTTCCAACTTAAGCAATTCTATGATTCTATGATTTTCACAGGTTGATTAAAAAAACCCTCCTTCAAAAACAATGATTTGCACTCACAAGATTAATTTATAATATTGAAGCATGCTAGCTAGAACGGATTCTTTCTGACCATTCAAACAGTAGTGTTCATGACATGGACAGAGCAGAAGGCTCACAGGACATCCATGCCATGACCACCAGTTTTTGGTAATTGATACGACTACAATAGCACAGCTCTTACTCTACAGTAGAAAACACCCCTTCTCTCAGGGATAACTTCTGAATATAAATTCTATTACCTCCTGAGTACTTTGAAGTTCACTTGAAATAGTTTCAATAGAGTGAAAGTTTACATAGTAACCTAAGAAATCCACTGCACAAATACCACCCCCTTAACTCCACATTACACACAATGGTAAAGACTGTAATTATACAAAGTCTTAGACTTATCAGGAAAATCCTTGCTACAGGGCCCTTAGTACTTCCATCAGAAATCCCTCTACTGGGCTCTAACACAACCTATTTCTCAGTCACACATTTTGTCTGGCTTTCTGCCCCCTGGCTATTGTAGTTAGCTTTTGAAAGCTTGGACTTCCCTACAAACCAGTCTTCTGAGGCAACTCTCTTTACAACAAAGGACACTGCACTGAAGAGTAACTGGTAATCTTTGAGATCTTATACACGCTTTCATCTTGCTGATTAAAGCCATAAAATGATTCTTCCGATCTCCAGAATGGATGGTATTAACCTCCTGCCATGTATCAGCCCATGTCCAAGAGGAAGTGTTGCAATGCATCAGCCAGGATCTACATAAGGTCAAGGACTGCTCTTCAGAAACGCTGCATATCAAAAACATTAAAGGTGCTAAATGCTACCTGAAATTCCAGAATCCCAATTACACGAGTGATGTGAACTTGTACGAAAATCTCAAACTATGTAATTAAGATGGGAAAAGAATTAGGTTCATCAGCTCATGGAGCAATAAATCCATTCATTCCACAGTGAATCATAAAGCTAGTGGGACCAATGTGGGCAAAAAAGAGGGAAATGGAACAGCCAATAGAAGGCTGTTCTGAAGTGATTTAAAAACCATAGTGGGTCCAGTGTGAAGCAATCCAGTCAGAGAAAGGGAAAACTTAAAATAAATTGCATGAACAGAATACATGCATCCAGTCATTTTATATTATGAGCTCTAATATTACTCCTGTAAACAGTCCAACATGCAAGATTCTTGAGAAAGACCCTTTAAAGTTACATGAAATTTAAAGCCATAACCTACAGCCTCCAGATAGCTTGGTACAAAGGCATGTTTTGAACTCTACGTATTAAAAGCTTATAAGCTCATCAGGACTATGAAGATGTATCTATAGATATACAACAGTTCCCAAGCAACTCCGACAGATTTTCTAGTTGACGGAAAGTGAAATTTCAGTTTAAAAGCACAAAAAGCCTAAGACAAAATTAAAAAAAAAATTTTTTTTGAGCTGTGTTGCAAAATGCTACAAAAGCATATTTTAATGAAAAGCCTGGTCTGAATCAAGAAAAGAACCAAACTTACTAAAAGAACCAAACTTACTAAACCACACCCACAAAAGAAATATTAAGTATGTTAAAGCTTGGAGAACATAGGGAATGAAAACACAGTAGGCTTGATCTCCAAAGGTTTTTGGCTTTTCTGCTGTCACAACCTAAGAAAGATGAGAACAGCCTATTTTTGAAGGCAGTTCAGGCAGCTCAATGTAACCACTGTAAAACTATATTCCCACATGCCCCAGCAGGACACAGGTAGAACTGAGCAAGGCGTGTACTCTGGAAGTAAAACACATTAACACATCTCCTTAGATGAGAATGAACACAAGAAATCTGCCTTCTCCACTGCCTGCATGCCACTCATTAAGCTTTGCGGTCATTCAAGAGGCCAGTACTAACAGAGCTTCAATACCTAAAATGAAAAGGCAAGTCAGGCATGGCACGATTACAGAGCAGAACAGGCTTGGGGCAGAGTGGCTGGAAAGCTGCATGGAGGAAAAGGACCTGGATACATTTGTCAACAGCTGGCCGAATGTGAGCCAGCAGTATGCTCCGGTGGTTAAGACCAATGGCTTGTATCAGAAATAGTGTTGCCAGCGGGAGCAAGGAAGTGATCATCTCTCTGTACTCAGCTCTGGGGAAGCCACACCTTGAGTGCTGTGTGTTCAGTACTGGGTCCCTCGTTAAAAGAAAGGCACTGAAGCCCTGGAGCATGTCCAAAGAAGGGCAATAAAGCTGTAAGGGGTCTGGAGCACAAGTCTTATGGGGAGCAGCTGAGGTTGTTTAGTATGGAGAAGAGGAGGCTAAGGGGCAACCTTACTGCTTTCAGCAACTGCCTGAAGGGAGATTGTGGTGAGGTAAGGGTTGGCCTCTTCTCCCAATGTAACTAATGATAGGACTAGAGGGAATGGCTTCAAGTTGCACCAGGGAAAATTCACGTTGGACATCAGGAAAAATTTATGCTCTGAAAGAATTGTAATGCATTGGGACAGGCTGCCCAGGGAGGTGGCGGAGTCACCGTCCTTGGAGGTGTTTGGAATCATGTGGACGTGGCACGGAGACACGGTTAGTGAGATGACAGGGATGGGTTGGCCGCTGACTAGACAGGTGATCCAACAGGGCTTTATCAACCTTAGTGATTCCGTGAAGTTCAGAGCAGGTCACAGAGCACCTCAGAAACCACCACCAAAAGAGCTGCAACTTGTTAAAAAGAGCCCGTGCGATCACACAGGGCCACAGCTCACCAGACGCAGTACTTTCAGGCTCGTTCTAATTTCACTACAAGTTCCGACTCCCGCAAGCACTTGGTGAAAACGCCAAAGCTCAGGAAAGCCACCTCGGGCCGTTAGCAGCGGAGCGGCGCGCGGCCACAGCGCGTCCGACTACCGGCGGGCGTCCAGCCGGGGCCGGCCCGGGCAGGAGCGGCCCTCCTCGCCCGCCCACAGCTCCGCGGGCCGCGCTCACCTCGGAGCCGCCTCTGGTACCGCCGCAGGGACTCCTCCAGGGCGGGCTGCCCGCGAGGCGCCCGCATCGGGACGCCGCCGACCGCCGGGAAGGGCGCGCACCGAACTCCGCGGCGCTGCCCCGCGGCACTCCGGCCCCCGCCGCCTCGCGGAGGAACCGCTACGCCCGCGGGCCGCCTTCCGTTGCTACAACGCCAACTACCAGCCACAGCCGAGCGCCGGACGCCCGAGCTGTACCACGCCCCCAGCTACAGCGCGCGGGGAGACCGCGGCGCCAACCACAGTTCCCGGCAAACGGCGCGCCGCGCGGAGCGCGCTGGGAGGTGTAGTCCCCACCGCGCGCACAACCGGCAGCGGGAGGAGGATACGCACCGCTTCTCTTTTCCCCTTTGTTGTGGCTCGCAACCGCCTTCGCGCCTGCGTACTGCGCGCGCCTTCCGCCTACGTCCCCGCGCCCGCAGTGGCTGAGCACGGCGCAGGTCCCGGTGCGGCCGAGGGGGCGGAGCCGCGTTCGCCTCCCACTGCCGCGCTATTGTCTGAAGTCGGCGCAGGCGCAGCTCCGGCCCCGCGGCTCGGCCCTCTGCGCCTGCGCGGTGCCGTCCGCCCTCCCCCACCCCCCCGCATTGTGTGAGCTCGGGCGGCGCCTGCGCAGCGCCGTGCCCGCTCTGCCCGTTAGCCGCTATGTGCAGGGAATAACGTTGCCGCGGTTGCCGGAGGAACGCGGAACGGAGCGCCCCGCCCCGCCCTGCGGGGCCGCCGGCTCAGCGAGCACCCGGCGCCACTACTACCAGCAGCGGGTCGGACCCGCGGCGCGGAGAGCCTCCTCGGAGGGGTGAGCGAGGGCTCGGGGGAGAAGCGGGGCCGGGGTCGCGCCGCCCATTGTGTCAGCGGGCGCCGGGCGGGCTGCGCCCCGCAGCGCGGATCCGGTCGTAGCCGCGCTCCCCGCGGGGCCCGGAGGCCGCCCCGCGCCCCCGCCTCCATCCGCCCTCGGCGGCGCGGCGGGAGGCGTGGGGCAGCGGCGGGGCGGGCTGCGGTGCCGCCCCTCTGGCCCGCGCCGCCGGCACACCCCTGGACCGCTGCTGCGCCTGCCGCGGGGTCCGAACGCGCTCCCGGCGGCGGTCGTTTGATGGACGGCGTCGCCCGACGAAATGGGGCGACTGATGGAGAACGGCCGCCTGCGCCCTCTCCCCATTGTGCGCGCCCGCCCGCCCGGGAGGGTCCTCCGCTCTGCGCCGTCCTCCCGCGCCTCCTCGCTTCTCCCCGCGGAGAAGCGCGGCGCGGCCGCCCCCTCGCTCTGTCTCTGCGGGCGGTTATGGCCCTCGCGGGGGCCCCGCGCCGCTGACAAAGCGCCCCGCGGCGCCGTGCTGCCCGTTACGGCGTCACGCGGGGAACCGGCGGTGGGTGCGATGCCGCCGAATGGGAGACAAAAAGAGCAGCCCCCTTGTGACAGCCCGGGGAACACAGATAGCAGAACACAGAGAGCATCCCCGGCTCGGCGGTTTGAAGGTGTTTTCTTCGCTGCGAATTTAAACGTCTAAAGGGTTTGCAGGAGGAAAGCGTGCTGCTAGCACCGTGGTGGGCATGGCCTTCTGAGTGCCGCTCGAGGCTCTGACAGTGCTCCTGGCCCGGCGCTCGCCTGTGTGGGATGGGGCGCCTTGTGCAAACTGAGCTGAGGCGTGAGCACATATGCCGTGATTTCCTGTGATTGATTTCCTCTGGGAATGGCTGTCCAGATGTTGAGGAGCCCATCCTGCAGGGAACTGGGCTGTCACCATGGGAGCTGCTCAACTTCAAATTTTATCTAACGATATTTTTGTCTGAAAGGGGTCACGAAGCCTGGCTGGGTGGGGAGAATAGTATGGCTGAAGATGCATAGAAATCTATTGAAAGCAAAGCCATGAGGTATTATTGTGGGTTTTTTTTCCCTCTCATTTCTCGACTACCTAAAAGTTATTTGTAAGGGATCGGATACAAATATTTTCATGGCAGTGCAGGGATTTCTTTGATGTCTGTTTGAGATGTTTTGCAGGTGCTGTTTTGCAGGTGCTGCCTGCCTCCCTTATCTGGTCATGCTGGGCTTTGCAAATCAGAATAGTTTCTCGCTATCTTGTGCCTCCAGACTGTGAGAGACGTGGCAAAAAAGATTTTAGCAGTTCTTTTGTAACATAGAAGCTGGAAAAGAACCAAGTTCTGAATGTGAACTGCAAAAGTTGATGTACTCTTGCGGGTGGAAACTGGGAGCTTCCCTGAGTGATAAGAGCCCAACCTAAAACACGAGTAGCTGCAGAAACTGATTTTGAAGTTCCATTTCTAGTTTTTTGCAAACACAGGCAGAAAGGGCTTAATGTGAATGGATACCACAATGTCTCCTTGGGTCCCTGAAGAGAACTATTGCAGTGTCAGCACCACTGGCTCTGCAGGCAGAATGACGCTGGAGTAAAACAGACTAATATTACTTAAACCAGAAAGCCAATAGAATCTGAAATTCTGCTTTCCTCGTAGAAGATGTTGGACAGGAGAGCCAGGCGTTGAGTCTCTTTGGATAGCACAGTGGCACAGATTCTGTCTGTGTCTGACGTCTGTGAGCTGCTCTCTGTAGCACACACTGCTTGTTGTGGTAAATATTGGCGTGGCTTGGACCAGGAAACTGCAGATGAGGGAAGAAAGTCCTTTGAGGGATGGAGCTTCTGTCTGATGAAGTTAGGTGTGTGTCTGTTCTACAGCATCCTATGACTGTGCCAAGTGAGCCTGGGAGGTGTCTCTCACTGCCTGCCAAGTTTATAATACTCTTACAGAGCACCTGCGCTCCTTCTGGTCCTGTGTTTGTTGTTGTATCTTGCATTGTCATGTTCCTTGAACATCTTTGATGGAGTGGTGTACAGATAGCAGCTTCCTTCTGTGTGCAGTGCTCGTGCTGCTCTGGGTCAGAGTCCACGCAGCGTGCTGAATGAGGCGGTTGTCCTGGGAAAAATAGAGCATGATCACATGGCTTGAATGGTAAGGTATAATGTATGCAAACAAGGCTGAGAGGAAAGCACAAACTACTTAATTAATCAGCTCTGTGTATGTCTGTTGTGTAGACACAACAAAATATTAAAATTACAGATGTTTGGTTCACTTTTCTAATTTAGTTTGTTCCACTCTGTCCTCTTAAAGCTGGGAGGCTGTTTTTATTTTAGAGATGCATTTATAGTTAGAGGCCTTAAGAGACTTTTATTTCAAATTTTGTTTGATCTTCAAAAAAAAAAAAAAAACCAAAAAAACCCATATATTTTAAATTAATGTTTTTTTTTGTTTGTTTTTTGTTTTTTGTTTTTTAAATAATGCATTATGTCAGAAGCAGTTTGTCCTAGAAACTTCAAATAAAACCATCAAAGATGTTTTAGTGGATTGCCCATGATTCTGAATTGCTTTGTTCAGGCTCTTAGATGGTTGAGTCTTTAAGATGAGATAGACTGGCACTTGCCCATCTCACAGTGGCTGTGAATGGAGCAGTCCCACTCACCCAGTCCTCTTACACTGTGAAAAGTTAATTCACACAACTAATCCAGCCAGCTTCTTTTCTTTTTGTTCTGTTTGACCTTTTTTTTTTTTTTCCCCCCCCCTTGGGTTAGCAAATTGAATTATTTTATGGTGTGGTCAGATGTGCGCCAGAGCAAGTACACAGAGTGGGGACAGCAATGTCAGGTCTGGAAGAAGGCAATATTCCCTTTTCTGATAGCAGAGATCCATTTGGACTGCTTGGCTGTGCTCTCTGACAGTCTTACGGTTGCTACAGAATACTGCAGACAGGAAGGGAAATGTATATATCCAAGAAAACCATCAGGAGACTGGTTTTAGTTTTATCATTTGTCTTTGCTGTTCTTTATCTGTGAAAGGTTCACATTCCGCAATGTTCAGAACATGTAACTGGGTGAAAAATGATCTTTCTCTGAGTGTAGTATGCAAAGAGAATTGGAATGAGAAGAGGTTCTGCTAAGTGATGTGGCCTTTGCATAAGAAAGCGTGTGAAGAAGTGTGTGGTTTTCTTTTCTTTAAAATTGTATTAAAATGCTATATGTGAAGAATTTGCTTTTACTAATTCAAAACAGAAACATCTTTTATTTCATCCTCTGAATAGAATACTCAGTGAAATAGGGTCTTTTTTTCCTGTGTGCATCTGATATGTCAACTTTGTTTCTGCTCATTGTTTCTGCCTGTAGAAATGGCTATTGAAAAACAGGCTTCCCATTAGCTAGGTGCTTTTCAGAGCTCCATCCCCACCCACTGGTGGGCCTCACAAGCTGACTCAACGCCAACAGCTGCAGTCCTCACAGTCTAGCTTCTTCAGTTTGTTCTGCTGTATTTATCGCAAGAATTGGTGTTCTTGTAACAGTTTCCTTTGTCTACTTCTTTCCAACCTTGTGAACTAAAATCTTATATTCCAAACTTCTCCGTGAGACTAAGGTGGTTGATATAAGAAGAGTCTGCTAAAGCCTATGTGATGAACTTTCCAGATTTGGTATTACTTTGAACATCGTTCCTGAGATTCTGGTTCTGTTCCCTTTGTTTCTTTTGGGAAGTACAGCAACTATTGATCTTTTCAGAGAAATAGAAAGAGAAGTGATACCACTCCCTGGCATTTCCGAGATACTCCTTTGTGCTCAGGGTATTTTGCTGGTTTCCAGCTGTGGTTCTGCATGAAGAAAGAACTGAACTTGCAATCAATCCATTAGCTAACCATTGTGGTCTGGAAGAAGCAGTACAGTGAAGGCATTAAATCAGATGTACTTAGAACTCATCCCTCAAAATGACACGCTCAAATAATTTTCTTAATGATCTTTCTGTTCAACTGCGAATACTAGGCTATCTAAGTAGGCATTCTCAATAGGCCTTTTCAGCTATCTTTTATTTTTTGTCTTGTTACATTTCAAGAATTGGAATAGAAGTCCAAGAAGTCAACATGTCGCATCTCTTCTGTTTTCTCAGAAACGCACTTTTTTCTGGCTTTCATTAATCTCACTTCCCACCCTCATCAACCACCAATGACATAACTGATAATTTAGCCTTAGGCCACTATCAGTGCAGGAATCTTGATGTCAGGAATAATTATACTTAACTTTTATATTTTAGTTTACTAGGTGCAAGATATAATGAATAGTATTGCTGTTTAGTTTAACTTAATTTTTTTATTTTGTAGTTTTTCTAAGAACATAAGAATGGCCATGTTGGGTCACAATAGAGGTCAATCTCATGAGGCCTCCATGAAGAGCCATAACCCAGTGTCTAGGGAGAGACAAGGAAGTTGTAGGCATGTATGTTATCTTCTTGTAAAACAATGCTAGTCTCTATGCGTTTTCTACTTGAGACTTTAGAGTCAGGTGT